TGTTCCTGGTTCACCCCTGTCACTCACTCACGGGGGGAACCACAATACCTTGATTTGGATCCTCCAGGTCATCTTTCAGTCTCTCACAAGACTGGAAAATTTTATTGTGAATGTGACAGGGAGGCATCTTTTGCTTAGGCTGTGTGAAAGGCAGTGACTGTTCATGAGGGGACATCCTGAGGATGAGTCTGCAGCAGATTGGAATATCACCCATCCAGAGAGTTTGGTTTGGTTTAGTGCTCCGCCCCATGCTTCCCTTTAGAAAACTGTGCTAGATGGTTTGTGGAGAAAAAGGACACAGCCTGATGGAGAAATTGTTTGCAGGAAGCAACGCTGTGCCAACTCTTTCAACACACTGGTGTCAGCTTTGTATTTGGAGAACAGTATGTAGAATTTAAAAGAAGAGGGCTGGATCAGAAGGAAAAATGACACCATGGTCCATGCGGTCCTCTTAAACAGCGTCCTTAGTGACAGTGAAGTGATTAACCCAACAAATCTGTCCAGGAAATGAGATGAACTTTTTTATTTTTAATCTGCATTCTCAAAGCTCAGACTGTGAGTTTAGTAGAATTTGATGCGTCTAACTGTGAGTTAGTAGAATTTGATGCGTCTAGCTGCCTCCAAAGTGTAAGGAAGCTGGCAGGGTTGTTGCATTAGACCAGTACCACCTCTTACAGCCCCATTATGACCTTGCCCGATCTCCCTCCTCCAGTGGTGTTGCTGGAAACTGAGTCCCGCTGCTTTCAAGCTCAGTACCTGTGTGACACAACTGACCCAGGGGTGATGGAGTTAGAAACACAATCAGAGTTTCTCTAAGCGAACACTGATTTTTCAGAGCTCTGCTGGTGGGCAGGGTCACACAAATGCAAGAGATTGCCTTGGGCCTTGGGCCTCAGGCCTCGGGCCTCGGGCTTCAGGATCCTGAGTATTGTTCAGAGAGGCTACCGGTTACGTTATTGCTAGAGGTAATAATACATTTAGGGCTGAGGAGGATTAAAAGGTGCAGTAAGGTATGTGCATTAAGCCTGTTTCTTTCTTAACTTGATAGGATCTCGCACAGTCTAGGCTGGTCCTTCCTTGAAGTCACTGTGTTGCTAAGGATGACCTTAAGCTTCTGATTCTCCTGCCTCTGAACCTTGAGGACTAGGATCACAGGACTGCACCACCCTGCTTGGTTCATTCCATACTTAGTGATTAGACCTGGGATTTCTTTCTTGCCCGGAAGCACTCTGCCACCTTTAGCCACACACCCACAGCCATTGACATTATATTTTCGTTATTTATTATTTTTAATTATGTGTCTGTGGGTGTGGTCTACCTGTGGGTATGCAAATGCCATACCCAATGAGGCGTTAGATCCCCTGAATATGGAGTTGCCGGCAGTCGTGAGTCACCTGATGTTGGGTGCTGAGAACCGAAATCAGGTCCTCTAAAAGCAGTAAGTGCTTTTAACTGCTGAGCCTACTTCCAGACCTTAAGTTTGTTTTTTGAGACAGGGCATCTCTGTGTAGCTTTGTAGTCTCTCCTGGCCCTCGATCTATAGATCTGGCTGTCCTCAAACTCATGGAGATCGCCTGCCTCTGCCTCCCAAGTGCTGGGAATTTCGTGCGCCACCAACGCCCGGCCTTAAGTTTGTTTTTAATCCGTATGTCTAGGAAGTCTTTTCTTTTTACATGTCTTTTCTTCCTCCCTTCTTCCCTCTCTACTCCCTTTTTCTTTTCTGGTCTTGTTACAAGGATGTTTGCATTGCAAAAAACTAAAAGTGAATAAGCTTCTTAAAAAAGAAGTCAGGTAAATATTCAGAGACCATTACTCAGTAATCAGTCTCTGTCACTATGATTCACTGATCCTGCAGATAACTAAGGAATGCTGAGTTTTATGGATCACTTTGTTCCACAGGTATTTTCCTCTGCATTATTTTGTAAGCACTAGATTATCTATTAAAAAAAATAGGCAAGAGGGACTTTGACCTTGAAGGTGGTAAAGAGACCAGGGCTTTCATAGAAATAACTTTCTTTGGCAGTCTCAGGTAGCGAAGAAGAAAATTGAGGTGCCATTTAAAATTAAATTCATTCATTCATTCATTCTTGGAATTGAACCTAGGGCCTCCTACATGTTATTCAAACTACATCCTAAACTACATCCTAAACCCCAAGCAAATCATTTTTAGATTATAGAACCTTGATACTTGGTGTTGGTAGTAATTGGGGTCACATAGATAAAGAGAGCATACTGCTTTTGCAGAGGAGCTGAACTCAGTACCCCGAACCTACATAGGCTAGCTCAAACCCACCTGTAACTCCAGCTCCAGGGGAGTCTGATGTCCTCTTCTTGTGTGAGTACCAGTACTCAAGTCTGTAGCTCATACCCCTCACATACACAAACACAAATTCACATGATTGGAAATATTACATCTTTTAAATGATACACATATTTACCACTAGAGCAAAGAAAACAAAAGTGTATACCCACAAAGAATGGATGTTTAGTTGCTTACAATGCATTTATTTTGACATACTCCATAGGATGGTAATAGGGCCCATGCATTACATTTTTCTATTTTGAGAATATTCTGTTTGTTTGTTTCTTAATTTTTTTCTGAGCCAGGGTTTCTCTGTGTTGTACACCTGGCTGTCCTGGAACTCACTATGTAGACTCAGAGATCCGCCTGCCTCTGCCTCCCAAGTGCTGGGATCAAAGGCGTGTGCCACCACTGCCCAGTAAGAATGTCCTTTCTGAAATCTCCTATGATGAGAGTTTCGTTTGGAAGTGTACAGTGATGTCCTTAGCAGTGTGATATGTGCTGTGCCGTGTGACATGTGCTATGTGGTGTGACTATCCTTAGTGGTGTGACATGGGCTGTATGGTGTGACATATCCTTAGCGGTGTGACATGGGCTATATGGTGTGACATATCCTTAGCGGTGTGACATGGGCTGTGCAGTGTGACATGGGCTGTGTGGTGTGACATATCCTTAGCGGTGTGACATGGGCTGTGTGGTGTGACATATCCTTAGCGGTGTGACATGGGCTGTGCGGTGTGACATGGGCTGTGCGGTGGATTCCTTGTTTTTGTGAGCACTCATCTTGGGGGCTGTAAACAGAGACAAACTTCTCTGCTAAGGCAGCCTGGTCAGATTGCGGTGATTTGCAGAGAAAGCTCCTCCATGTAAAAAGCAGTTGTGTGTTAGGAGAGGGAGGGACTCTGTTGTTTGATTTTATCTTTAAAAAAATGTTGTCATTAACCTCTAGGTTTGAAGGCTCCTCAGCTTGAGTTTTAGAAGCAAAGTAAGCACAATGTGATGACAGGATCTGGTCACAAGGGGAACTGGAGGGGGGGTTCCAGGTTTGGGGAAAGAATGAAAAGAGGCTGAGCAGATGCTGGGCTGCCTTGTAGCTTTTCAGGAGCTTCCCAGAGCTTCTACACTGGCACATGTCAAGTTCAGTTGGCTGAAAGTCTGTGTTCCGAGTCTGGCCACAGTGAACAAGAGACTGTCTCTGGGGTAGGATGAGAGGGGATGTTTCTGAGTTTCCCTAGTGCTGAGGCTGGAACTCAGGACCGTGTGAATGCGAGGCAGGCACCAAGCCACACCCCTAGGCCTGCTTTTCCATAACATGACATTGGTAAAACCCTCAGCCTTTCCCCTTTGGCGTCCGTCAAGCTGTCTGCACACTTGGAATACCCTTTATGAGCCTTCGCTGCCCCTCCTCCCACAGCCATACAATACTTTAGCTTCACCTCTGAGTTCCATGGTGGCCTTGGCGGCTTCTTGGACCTCCACATAGGGTCCTGCCAGCTCAAGATTCTGCACTAGTTTTCCTAATGAGGGCATTGTTTGCTTTTTAGCCTGCCCCCCTTGTTTATAAAATATGCCAAGAGAACCAAACACCCCACTGTTCTCAGTACTTACTTACTTTCCCAAACCAAATGTTTATGTCCTTGAATACTAAACTTGAAGAAAAAGGGTTCCTCCTCGTGGGAAAGAGACACACACTGAGTTCTTTCCAAGCTATGGCCAGAGGTCTGCATTTCAGAAATTCTGAGCTGAGTGACTTTGGGACCTATTCAGACCAGCTTCGTCGTTTGCCTTGTGTGTGCACATGGAAGGCGGATCCTCTGACATCTGTCTTCCCAAGAAGCCTGTCGGCACAGAGGTGGTATTCTGACCTTGGTTTCCTCCCAAACTTAGTGCACAGAAAGGAGATCCAGAGTGAGAGTAGTTTAAAAACACTCAACTGGACCTGCTTGCCAGCCTTCATAGCTTCAGCCGGACTTGTGGAAGAGACAGGCTAGGGCACCTCCTTGGCCTCCATAGGAGGTCCAGTATCACCTGGGAGCTTACAGCACAGGTAGCACTCCCCCTGGTGACTCAGATTCTGAGACCTGTGTTTTCTGGATGCTGACCAGGTGATCCTAATGGAGCCAGGTTCCAGGGGCCGCTTCCACACGTCATGACTGATACATTGTTTCCCAGGCTGTGACAAACAGCCATGACTGATACATTGTTTCCCAGGCTGTGAGTTCCCCTGCCTTTCTGACTTGAATACAGTCTTCATCTGCCCACAGGTTGTGTTTGCAACACTCACTGACCAGCTCCATTGTGGCTTTTTCTACAAAGGAGAGACGTGTCCTTGTTACCTTTGCTAGATTACTTAGGAGAAGAATGTAAATTGCAGCATTTATCATGAATGTGCGGGCGTATTGTTTATACAAACAAAAGAGACTAAAGGTGTTTTGGTCTGATCTGCAGGAAAAAAAAAGGTGTATTGAATTTTCCCATCTCCTTCCTCTTAGACCCATGGTATCTAGTCAGAATGCATCTGGTAGATTTGGGTATTTGGCAGGCACTGGGCTTAGAGATTATTATTTATTAGGCTTATAATTACTAAAGGCAACATTGCCAGTTCGTCCCTTATTCTTGAACCTGACTTTTAGGGAGCAAGACAACACAGTTTTGAAGTTGAGTTCTGTTCTGACTGATACCTATCCATGTTTGTCAGTTGGTGGACGAGTGAGTCGAGAATTAAATTATACCCGGCAGAAGATAGGAGAAGAGGCTATGTTTAATCCTCAACTCATGATACAGACTCCAAAAGAAGAAGGCGCTAACGTCCTGACCACAGAGGCCCTCCTACAACACCTGGACTCAGCACTCCAGGCCAGCCGCGTGCACGTCTACATGTATAACAGGTAAGGCCAGCTGTGTCGCCTGCACTGGTCAGCGGAGTTTCCATAAATAATGTTGCCTTTGGATTATTAAATTAGTTCCAAAATTTCCTGGCACCTTTAGAACCCAGAGTTTCATAGATGTCGCACAGTGCTGCCATTGAATACTTCCCTATCTTGATTGGTTTTTAGAGTTTGCTAGCAAAGTACTACACATTGAATTTTCCCTCTCCAAAGTGCTTGGGACCCAGAAGTGTCTCAAACATTTAAAAAATGTATTTTGAAATATTTCCATAAATACAAGATTTATTGGGAGCAAGATTCAAGACTGAAGAAAGAATTGATTTATGCTCCAATATGCCCTGTATAACATCTTAGTACTTATTTTTTGTGCATAAAATGGAGTTTCATGGTACGGAGTATTCTATTTGTGACATGATGCTGGTGTCAAAAAGTTTCGGGTTCTAGAGATTTTTAGATATCAAACATTGAGATGAGAGATGTGTTCAGCCATGTATGTATGCGAGTGACTGTTTGCCTGCATGTGTCTGTACTGTGCATGTGTGCAGTTTGGAACTGGAGTTAAAGTGTGTAAGCTGCCATGTGGTTATTGGGCACCAAACCCGGTTACCTGCCAGAGTGACAAGTGCTCTCAACCTTTGAACCATCTCTCCCGCCCTGTAATGTATTTCAAATAAGTATCTTGGCATGGTCCACAAATGATGCCATTACTTGGTGTAGATGGGGGGTGGGGGAGCTGCACACTTGGGCTTTTATCTCGTTGTTTAAGATATTGTTTCCCTAATCGATTATTTTGTTAACTTGGTAGACCCTTTCTTTGGAGCAGTTATATATATTTTGGACAGTCTCAGTCAACAATGTGAAGGGCAGAGGGAGAGATGAGAGTGAAGAGGCAGGGAAGAAATCAGTTTTCTGACTTTGCATGAGCTGAACAGGTGATGTTAGTTACAAAGCAGATGGAGGGATGGATGGGTGTTGGACTTCCCTGGGAATTCTCTGGGATGTCTTGAGTGAGGTAGATTCATATATACACCTTTTAAGGGTGTTTTGGAACAAAATTAGCATCTTTTTCTTTCCTTCCTTTTAATATGTCTATACTGTCAATCACTGCAGAGTGGAAGCCGTGTGCACACATGGCCCATTGTTGAGCAGAGAAAAGATCAGAAGTATGTAGGAAAAGGCTTTGGGAAGTGTATAGACATATTTCAGCCACCTGCTCTCCTTCCATTAGTAGTGAACATTGTAGAGAAAGTAACTGTCTGGTCTAGCTGGCAAAATTTGGAGTTAAAGGCCCAGTGAAGAAGCTGGCATGCCCAGGGTTGTCCCACAAACAGGATATTAATGCCTGCTCTGAGGCACTTGTTGTTCAAATACTTCTGCACAAGATTTAAAGTTCTCTGCTGTGAAGTCATGTCCTTCTCAGGTAACCCGAGATGGACCCAGAGAGTTATACACAGGAACAAATCCTTGCATAGTCAATGTATGTACATTTTATATGAAAAAGAAAATTGAAATGAGATCAAATGGAGCGTTTGTCCAAGACCCTAGGGTTGTTAAAACGACCAATGTGGGTTTCAAACCCCTTCTTCTGGGTGGATACAAGCCCAGTGAAAGATCAACAGTATCTTTCTCAAGCAAACACACAGAGAACCAGCTCATCAGATGGCATCAAAAACCTGCTTATGTTGGATATTCTGTGCTGGCACCACACAGAATTACAGAGAGAGAGAGAGAGAGAGAGAGAGAGAGAGAGAGAGAGAGAGAGAAAGAGAGAGTGAGTCTGTCACATGCCTACATGATCAGCAGGCTGATAAGTAAGTGGAGGGAAGGAGAGGTGTGGATGAAGGAGTAGGTAGTGCCAGCCTTTATACTGGGGAAAGAAATACAGTCAGCACAGGTAGGCACAGACAAAGCCACGCATAAGCAGTGCCCACATTTCACACTGCAGGTATAGGAGTCAGGGCTCTATAGGAGGCTCATTTTCAGCAGGAAGCTAGAATTTCAAAAGGGCACTGAGCAAAAGATGGGAAAATAATAGAAAAAAGCACAGGAGAGAGGACACAAAGCCCAAAGTGCCCTTGGGAGAACACGGGCCAGTTTGCCGTGTGTTAACCTTCATACCCTTTGATTTCCCCTCTCTACTCTTTCCAAACCCCCATTTATTTTTGAGTAGGGCTTATTTTCCCCAAAGACATTGAAAAAGCCATGGGTTTACAGAACACTCTCCTAAAGATACTAAAACCAAATAATTTATAGTCCATGTGTTTATTGTCTTGTCTACCAGACTGGGAATCCAGTCTACCTGGCAGAGTTGTTTATAACATTTGCGATTAAGAGCAGAAATAGCTTACAAATAACATCTGCTAGTAAAAGAAGATAAATAAAAAGCCAGCAACACTTTCCCACCTGAGTATATCCCAACACTAGCTACACTACTCAAGCTCCACTTATTTTGAATTTGTGATAATTCCACTGGATTGCTGCAGGTTGTTTAATGTATGTAGAAAAGCAGATTAATGGTGTAAACAAGATTATTGGTAGAACACTTAGGGAAACAAGACTTTTCAAGTACTTGGGTAGCTTTCATTTACATAAACACCCCACATGTTAATTACAATCCAGTGTTATCTATTCATTAAAGCAAGCTTGCCAGCTTTCTGCTTGGCAAAAGCTCTGCTGGTTTTGACAGATGCTTCAACGTGATCGAAATTACAGCCTTTTGATAAGTCCTGTTGCTCCTGTTTTTAGCTCATTTCCTTGCAGTCAGAGTGTTCTGTTCTTTTTTTATTTTTCTCTGCTTTTCATCCCAATAGGCAATGGAAGTTGGAACATTTGTGCTACAAATCAGGGGAACTTATCACAGAGACAGGTTACATGGATCAGGTACATTCTTTTCTTGAACATTCTCAATTCTGGGAACCACCCCAGCAGTGAGTGTTAGCCTAATGCACTCCTGTTGTTTTTGCTTTGACAGATAATAGAATACCTTTACCCTTGCTTAATCATTACACCTTTGGACTGCTTCTGGGAAGGGGCGAAGTTGCAGTCGGGGACAGCGTACCTCCTGTAAGTGTACCCTTGGTGTCGTATTGCTGGGCTCTGTGACAGTTTCCGGTGTGGCTTATCATTGTTTATTCTGTTTCAGTTTTGGACAAGAGGTAAAAACATTGAAATTCCGAGCGGTTTTTTTTTTTGAGTGAATGGTGTTGGGGGTGGGGGGGGAAGAAGAGGAGATTTCAACAGAATTTTTTTTTCTCTTTTCAAAAACAGTTCTGTAGGCATCATTAAATTTCATTCACTTTTACCAACCCATTTATATGCAAATAAAATGCAAATTATTGCAAGTCTGTGCAATTTTTTTAAAACTCTTTATAAAATGCTTGCAGTGATGCAGACAGGCACGCAGACCTTTAAGAAGAGAATTTATTACATGGTACATGTCACAAAGAAATACTTCAAGCTAAGGTTCAAGATCTTCCTGAAGCGTAATAATTTTTACCCTTCTCTGGATTGTTGTGATGATATTTAAGGGGGAAATATGCCCTCTGTGAAGACCATGACAAGGGATGCTCCATAGCCCAGAAGTTGGGAATCGCATATACCACATTGTTTAAAGAATGATGGTTACTCATTGTAGACTTTTTTCAGCTAATTATGCCAAGAGTTAGTGCTTGGGTTATTGTTTCCGTCCTGGCCAGCACATATCTGCAAAAGCAATTTGCAGTGGTCATCCCCTGACCTTCAGTGTACAGTTTTAGATGGGAAATAAGGGGTTTTGTGTTTTCTGGTTGGGAGAGTCTGAATAATGACTTCAGCCTGGTTAAGCAGCTACAGTGCGGTTTGAACCACATAACAGGCAGCCAAAAGCCTTTCTGGTCTGTCAACAGCACAAATTTCCAAAGTGGGTGTGGGGGAAGTGGCTGCGATGGCGGTGATGGCAGAGCCCATGGGGGGCTTACCCACCCCACTGCCAGCCCATCAGAGAGGGCACATAAGAATGAATTGCTGAAGGCTACAGGTCAGATACTTTGATTTGTGACATTTAGAAAGCATTCTTTGAGCTAGAAGTTACTACTGTAATACTGTGATTCCCTCTTTTGGGTTTTAAGTTTGGATCTCAGTGTTCCACTTAGAAGTATCCCAGCTCCACCCTCTATCAGCTAATTTTTTTTATATTAAATACAATATTAGGGGATTAAAAGTCTCTGGTGTCTGTGTTAATTTGCAGGCTCTCTGTTTGTCCTCTTTAGTCATGAATTCTTTTCCTGTCTGGTTTGTAAATGGCTTTATTGGGGAACAACACTTGTATTTTCCCTTTATACCCGAGTCCCAGAATTTTGCTTTGAACACCCTACTTTGCACAGATGCAGCCATGGTGCCCTTCTGCCTGTCTGAACCTGGGTTTTCATGGCCTTACCTCTTAATTTCTTTCGCAGAGGTAAGCCTCCTTTGCGGTGGACAAACTTTGACCCCTTGGAATTCCTCGAAGAGTTAAAGAAAATAAACTACCAAGTGGACAGCTGGGAGGAGATGCTGCATAAAGCTGAAGTCGGCCATGGATACATGGAC